CCGCGTGTTCACAGCGCTATGAACCCCCAATGATCCACTTGGGCGCAGAACGATTGACAAAAAATAAGTGGGTATACTACAAGCTAACGCGTACAAAGTTTGAGAATTGAAAAGATGAGTGCAATTTAGAATGAGAGGCACTTACAAGGACCCACCCGCCCTGCCCACAAGCACACTTAACTTAAAACTAACGCACGCATACAATCAACTTAAAACTAACGCACGCATCCCTCGATGATCCCTCGATGATCCCTCGATGGATGTCTTCAATGATGACCTATTCATTACCTACAAAATAATTAGTCGTAACAATAAAAAGAAGAAACGGAGAAACAAATGCAATATTAGTAACATTATAATATTTATTCATGCATAATTCATGTCGACTCAATAAAAGTACACCTGTAAAATATACATTATACTTGAGAAATATTCAATTACTTAATTAAAATAAAAACCTGAAACATAGAAATACAATTAAGACACATATGAATAAATAAGTTGTCTGCATGAAATTAAAACCTGAAACATACAAAAATGATTAAGAGAAATATGAAACATTGAAAATTACTACATAAAATTAAAGCCCTAAATGTGCCTTTTGTTCTAAAATTGCACTTGTATAATTTAAAACTTTGTAGAGAAAAGGGGTAAAGAAGAAAGTTTGAAGAACTTTCTTTTAAGTTTCGAGCAACTGACAATGAAAATGGCTATTACTACAATCTAATATGTAACAAGTTAAAAAATATTTATAAAGATAAGTGCAAGTTAGAACAAAAGGCACTTACAATGTGCGCAGGCTTTTCGCCACATATTGTGACGAAAAACCTGCGCCCGAGCCCACCCATCCTCCCACAAGCTCGGAATTAAAAAACTAATGCATTGAACAGAACTTACCAAAATGAAATTGAGAATTTATAATCGTAGCTCTTAGCTCGATATCGTTTTCTAAAGTTAATTTCGAGAAAAATATTTAGAAAACGACATCGATTACCAGGTCACACCACGAGGAGGTGGCTACGTTACAATAGTGACCCACCCTAACTCCAAATCCCTTCCACCCTCCAAATGCAACCTCATTTATCAGAAGGATAAATGAGTTCTGACTCTACATAGCTCATAGGCTCGCATACACAAGTTCTTTACCACAATCCAGTAAAGAACTTGTATCACACGCACGCACATACATTAACTTAACTTAATACTAATTGCATTTTATCTCACACACATACGCTTAACTTATTCTAAACGCCGCACGCGTACCTCTTAT